CTCCATGCCATGCCGAATTGAGGCAGTAATTAAAGCAAAAGGAGCCCCTACCAAGTATTGAGTACATGTACAGTAAATGAACATACTTTCCAGAAGGCCAACAATTCACTAAAAAAATTGTTCTTATTGGTCTTATGAAGTATTCTAATTTGTTGAGATAGTGAATTGGTGGGTTTTTGTTAAATGTGAGCCAAAATCATCACAATTAACAGAACCAAAGACTTAAACTACTTCAGTCTGTGTGCAATGAATTTATTTAATACACGAGTTTCACAATTTGAGTTGAATTACTGAAATAAATGAACTTTTCCACGACATTCTAATTTACTGAGATGCACCTGTAGTGCTCAGTAATCCATAGAGGCAGTTATGTGCCAGCTCTTATGCAAAAGGGATATTTTGATCTTTTAAGATGCAGGAAAGCCCTGCCCTGAGACCTGCTAACCTCCTCGAAACATAGGTTAATTGGCATAGAAGATTTGCATTGTTGATATAGGATACATTTTATATATCATCATCATCATCATCTTTATCATATTATTAGTATAGTATGTTAATAGTATCAGTATTATTTTGTATACTGCTTCGTTTTTCTACTATTTTTACATAAGATAGATAGATAGACAGATAGATAGATGCAGTGCTGATATGTAATCTATCTATCTATCTATCTATCTATCTTGCACAATTGGTGGCTGACTAAATACTTTTTTTCCCCACTGTATCTATCTATCTAACAACTTTAAGCAGTAAGAATTGTATGATGTATCCAACTTGAACATAGATAGCTAGATAGAGTTGTTGATATTATATCTGACATGGCAGTCATTCACTATCAAAGAATACCATAGTATCGCCATGGTAATGTCCACACATATACTTATTTTTCACAAATCGTCAGAACACCATTATGATTTCGTGGTTCGATGCTCAGATATCCGGACTATAGATTCGTTCGAGCGGAAATACGCAAACACAATTTAAATGTTCCGGTCACTTTAAATGTGAGACAAATGCTGCATTCTTACCGCCACCTTTGTGGAACTTCACACACGCATCCAATGAATTCCACAGGTCCGTTTTCCCGAACAGAGCCGGACCGTGCAGCCGAGAACAGACTTTATGCATTACTGGTATTTTTAAGACAAATTCTTCTGCAGCAAATCCACAAATTAAGTGTTGATTGCGGTGAATTCTACCCCAGTAGTGCTCGAGGAGGGGCAAGCTCAGCCAATGGTATGTGGGGGTAAAGTCTGTATCAAGGTCTTTAGAGATTGAAATGAGATTCTTATGCTTATGTTCCAGTTAATTTATGGCTAAAAGTATAGGAAATCAAGTTTCAGTTCATCAGGTTGTGTCCATGATAATGATGATAAATAAATGTAAATGTCCAGAATATAACATTTACTGTATATAGTAATAGTAGGCTACTGTAGATACTGTAATACTATTTTCAAATAAATGGACATTTATATAATAATAATAACAACAATTACAACTAACAGGTTAACCCCCCCCCACACACACACACACACACTTTTACATTTTTTTTTTCTAATTTTTAATTGCTTTACCATTGTACCAGGCCTTGATTTTTTTTTTTTTTTATCTTAAAATATGAAAATCCATTATAAAAACATGAATTAGATTTGATAAACTATGATAATCTGAAATAGTCAAGCAATCACTTACAAAACTCTGGAGATAAAGTATACAAGACTTGTTTTGTGACAAATTAGCAGAAAAAAATAATAATATTAAGATCATAATATCACGTTTTTGGTTAAATGTTTTACAGCAGAATAAAAAGCCATTCTCAAAAATAACCACTCCAACACATTTAAAACAATCTGAGCATATGTTTTAATGGTTTTGCTATGTGAATTCACAAATAATGTTTATGGAATAGCAGAACACAGTAAGGATGTATTACACAAGATGTATTTCTTACATAGGTTAACAAACTTAACATCACAAATTAAATTTCAGCAACTCCAGTGTCTTGACAGTAAAAGAAAAATAGACAGTAAAGAAAATAGCGACATCATTTCAACAAGACAGAGTTTTCTTACTGTATAACACATTTTAATTTAAATAATTCTTTTAGTTAAGAAATGGTTTTGGGTTTGGTAGAATGAAATCAAAACATGATTTCAGTTAATCCCTAAATGAGAATATAATCATCCTGGAGATTTCTGCATATGCATTTTCTTTACTGTAAGATATCTTACTCTCAGATAAAAAGACTGAAATATTTTTTCACACTGTTGCCCCACATTAAATGAGATACTGTTACAAACATGCGTTTTATAGATTTTCTATTGCCTGAGTTAGAAATCTATTATTAAAAGAAATTATGCTTTTCCATGCAGATTTATAATGCATGAAACAGAGAATGTATGACTGGTAAACAATAAAGATATAAGAAAATGTTACGCTACTCACAAATCAACAAAATTAGATGGGATGATTTATGTATGGCTTAGGCAAACCTAAAAGCTATTTATTGGTATATAAATTATCTGTAGGTTACATATAAATGCATTTCTACATATTACATATAAGTATTGAATAATTATTTTATATGTACATGTATGTGTAATATAACTTTAGGCATAAATATATATTTAGTAAATGACCCCTTCCAAAAAATACAACTCGGTCTGCTTTCAGAGATTTATGCATAAAATAAGGCAACGTGTGAAAGTTGACTCTTGCACTGCCAAGAGCTAAAATTTTCCTTGTCTCCATGTGACTGGTTTAATGGTTAGTGATTTGTACATGAACAAGATAACTGTTTGGTTGGATTGAATGCATATATACCAATCTCTATCATTTAAAAAAATATACTTTATAATTTCCTTTTTAATATCAACAAATGTGCAGTGCTGAATCAATGGCTACCTACGATTTAAGGGTATACAGACTTGGAAAAATAGATTCTTGCAGGGTTAACATTCACAGAAACCTACAAAATCTTACAGTAATACATACATTCGGCAGGAGTGTTTAAACAAGTTTTCCTCCACCTGAGAGTTGTAAATATCAAAGGCAAATTCTTTACGTTTGTTTACAATCAGTTCAAATCCCTTTTCATGTGAATTTGGAATGCAACCGACTCTGACTGCAAATAATGCTCTTGTGTTTATATAATATGCAGATGGAGTTTTAAGTAATTTCCTTAAAATATATATATATAATTAATTGAAATGTGAAGTGAAATTGGGTGAACGCTTTGATAATACTCAAGATCAGTTCATAAAAAAATAGTCCATGTCCACTATAGCAACAGACCCCATCATGTAGTTTAGGAGTGAACAGCGGCATAAAAAAACATAGTGGCTTTGAACACGTAACAATGCCATGATGCAAAATGCAATATAAAACAATGCATTGTGGATAGTTGAGGGCAACTATGCTAAGTGCTAAGTTTTCAAATCCCATGAATCTCTAAATACGACAAATCATTAAAAGTTAACATGAAATGGCATTCATAACCCATTTTACTTCCAAAATACCATGTACAGTATTTCTCAGTAAAACAGCATTAAATTATACAGTAGGAGAATTCCACTGGCAATTGCCGGATAATGAAAAGTAGGCTTTCCATGAAATTTCCAATGAAAACACAATGCCTAAATGGCTATTTGGCTATTGACTAACATACAGTCAAAAGGAAAAATTGTATCGGAGGCACAGCAGAATTTAAGTGAATTTTCTGAAATGTGAATTGGGATCCATTTCAGTTTCATGTTAACTTTAAAGACTTAAGTGTAAAGAAAAAGATTAATTTTTTTTTTTGGTGTTTATAAGTGTCACCTCATCAAAGTACACAATCTGTCAAAGAAACAAAATCGATGACTTCTCATACTCTTAAAAATAAAGGTTCAAAAAGGGTGGTTTTCACAGCAACACCATGGAAGAACCATTTTTAGGTTCCCCAAAGAGCATTGCAGCAGAAGAACATTTTAATAATCTAAAGAAGCTTTTTCCACAATAAAGATCCTTTGTGCGATGGAATGGTTCCATGGATGTTAAAGGTTCTTCATGGAACCTTCAAAGCCAACAAAGAACATTTATTTTCAAGAGTCCAGCCTCTTTACAGTGCTTACATAAAAGTTCAGACCTCGGCTCTGAAACAAGACCCTTACATCTAATACAATCTAATAAGAAGTAAATATTTTTATAAATATAAATCCACTGAAAAAAACACTGTAGAGAAAAGTGCTTCTTTCAGGGCTTGGCATGAGCTGTTGACAGTTTAGTGGTTGGCTTATTGATTTTGCTGCATTCATGCATTGGACCACTATGTGCTAGTAGGATGGCATTAAGACTGTTGAATCTACATAACCGTTTCCCATCACCCTCATGCCTTCATGTGGCATCCTACTGTTCGATTGGTGGACAGCAGGTTTGCAGGGGTGAGGTGGTTGCTGGGTTGTGCATTGATCAGCCTGGTTGTCCAAGTACTGGCTGTAATAGTCCACGCACTGATGGGACGTATCCCTCTGCAGAAGCAAAATATTGTTTGTCACTTCTTTGACCTTACTGTAGTCCTCCCCGGCACAATCTAACCCCTCAGGTTCGCGGTTTGGGTCCGAAAGCGGCCTAAGCAGTAGCATATTCTCCGGGTTGACCCTTTGCACCTCTACGTATTCCAAAGAAGGTGACGGAGGCACGCCAGGAGCAGGAGTGCCGACGCCGTCCAGGTTAAACTGGTTGTAGCTTTGAGAATGTCGGCAGGCTGGTTTACTGAAGCGGCCCTCCTGTTGCGGGATGTCCTGATGGTGTAGCTGGTGATAGTTGCTTGGCGTCGTGTGTGGCGATGAATGGTTGAGGATCTCTGGGACGCTGTGGTAGGCCGGTTTCGCAGCTCCCACTTGGTAATGATGGTGAGTTTGCGGTTGAGGAGACGAAAACACAACGGGCCAGGTTTTGCCGCGTCCATCGGCGGACTCTGGAGAACCGGGTGCGGGACCCTGGCTTTCACTGCTTTCAGTAGAAGCCCAGCTCGTTTCTCCATGTTGGCTGTACTGATGTTGATCGCTTCCACTTCCACTTCCTTCCCGTCCCTCCATGCACTTCTCCAAAAGCAGAGTGCGACTGTCGCAGCTTCCCCGGCCCGAGTCGCTGTCCGACGGGCTTTTGGACTTCATGCAGTCCTCTGATAGATCTTTACCATCCAGTACCAACTCTTGCTCCTCATTGTCATACACCTCAAGGTACTCCACCAGTAACTCGTCGTAATCGGTGGTTGGAGGGAAACCTTGGATCACCAAAGTATTGAAAACTTCCTCTGACTTTCCGCTCTGTAAAAGTAAAGCAAGTGAGAAAACTGCCTCAAAAATGCAATTAAAAATGTGGCATGAAGGACGATATCAAAACCTTTATATCCTGAGCACATGCCTCACAAATAATGAACTTGTGAGACATTTTAAAAGAATAGTTCACCCAAAGTTAAAATTGTCATCGTTTACTCACCCTCAAGTTGTTCCAAACCTGTACGAGTTTCTTTCTTCTACTGAACACAAAAGAAGATATTTTGATGAATGTTTGAAGAATGCTATTCTTTCAGTACTATGGAAGGCAATGGCTACCAGCAACTGTTTGGTTACCAATATTCTTCAAAATATCTTCTTTTGTGTTCAACAGAAGAAAGAAACTCGTACAGGTTTGGCAAAACCTGAGGGTGAGTAAATGATGAGAGAATTTTCATTTTTGGGTGAATTATCCCATAAGGCAGGGGTGTCCTGTCTATACTGTGAAGCTGCTTTGATGCAATCTGTATTGTATAAATAAAAATAAATGTGAGGACTTAAATTAACTTGCAATGGTTGGATAAAACAATAATTAATAGCATTCAAACATACGTGCCATCAGCTGTTAGAAGGTGCAAAAAACAAACAAATGCTAAGATCCCATTTACCATGCTGATAAAAACCACCAAAAATGTTGCAATTATGGAGTCTACCTGAAAGCTAACCTGAAGATTTTTTACATTTGATTTGGACAAGAGATGCATGAGTGATCTTTCTATTACCTTCAGCAATTGTTTTTCGAATCCTTTGATTTTTGGTCCAGGAACAGGAGGCAGCAAACAAAGCTTCACACTGAATACAAATATAAAAAGCAGAATAAGATTCAAAAAGTTGTTTTTCAAAGGTTAAATAAATGCTTTATAAACTTTAAGTAGATACAATGTACTTAATTTGGATTTAATTTGGTTTTATTTTTGAGGTCAATGCACAGTTAAGATCAATTTCTATCAACAAATATTTTCCTGCATGATCATAATATAAGCACTATGGATACTGAAAAGGGACTTATCTAGAATACAGAACAAAAGCTTCCATGTGTCCCGAAAGGATTAAGAGATTAATTTTGGATCCCGTTCGTCCTTGTACTTTTGAGAATGCCTCACATTATTTGACAGTGTAATTAGTCTATCTTTGTCTATTTAAATCTGTGCTGATAGAAACTGGCCTAAAAACTACATTTGAGAGTAAAGTGAGGTACTGCAATATCTGGATCAATCCTCTAATGGCAATTTAATCCTACATAATGAGTATTTGTCAGCAAGAACAAAGAGGCAAATGATGTATATAACTGGTCCAAGCCAATTTGATTTCGATCAAACTAAGAGGCATGAATTTTACATTTGCCAGTGATGGTATAAGATGATATTCAGTGCTCTCCACTAATACTGGCACCCTTGGTAAATATGAGCAAAGGCGGCTGTGAAAATAAATCTGCATCGTTTATCTTATTGAAATTTTAAAAAATACACAAAATTCTAACCTTTCATTGAAGTATAACAATAGAAAGTGGGGGGAAACTCACATTATCTCCAATGCATGTTGGCCACAATTATTGGCACCTCTAGAAATTCTTATATTCCCACTAATATTTACATTTTTTAGCACACCAGGGTGACTAGGAGCATGAAATTGTCCAGCCATGACTTCCTGTTCCACAGGATTATAAATATGAGGAACACAAAGGCCAAATTCCCTTAATCATCCTTCACAAGGAGTAAAACCAAAGAATATAGTTCTGATGTGCAGATTGTTGAGCTTTGCAAAATAGAACGTGGCTTTATGAAAAGAGCTAAAGCATTGAAAATCCCCATTTCCACCATCAGGGCAATAATTAAGCAGTTCCGGGCAATCGATTAAAGATGTTAAAATCTGCCTGGAAGAGGATGGGTGTCTATATCGTCCTAATGCACGGTGAGGAGGAGAGTTTGAGTGGCCTCTCCAAGGATCTCAGCTAGAGAATAGCAGAGATTAGTTGAGTCTTGGGGTCAGAAAGTCAAAAAAAAAATCAAACAACCCCTACATCACCACATGTTGTTCGGGAGGGTTTCAAGAAAAATCCTCCTCGCTCATCCAAAAACAAACTCCAGCATATTCAGTTGTCAGACACGACTGGAACTTCAAACAGGACTGGCTTCTATGGTCAGATGAAACTAAAAAAAAGAGCTTTTTGGCAGCAAACACATGTGATGGATTTGGTGTAAACAGGGATAAAAAAGTGCCCCATGCCCACAGTTAAATATACTGCTGGATCTTTAATGTTGTGGGGGCCTATTTTTCTGCCGGAGGTCCTGGACATCTTGTTCACATACATGGCATCATGGATTCTATCAAAAACCAACAGATAAAGAATGTAAACCTGACTGCCTCTGTTAGAAATTTTATAATAGGCCGTGGTAGGATCTTCCATCAGGACAATGATCCAAAACAAACATCAAAATCAACAGAAAAATGTCTCACTGAGCACAAAATGAAGATTCTGCCATGGCTGTCCCAGTTCCTTGACCTGAACCTTATGGAAAATGAGTGCGGTGAACTGAAGAGAAGAAGCACCAACATGGAGCTGGGAATCTGAAGGATCTGAAGGAATGGTCTCTGATTTCTTGTCAGGTGTTCTCCAAACTCTTCAGGCATTATAGGAGAAAACTGTTATCTTTGGAAAAGGATGTTTGCAATAATTGGGTGCCAATAATTGTGGCCAGCGTGAACTAGAGAAAAACATTTATTTCAAAATGAGATTTTCCCCCCACTTTCCATTGTTTAACTTCAATGATAGATTAGAATTTTGTGAATTTTTTGAATGAAAGATCAAAAGGATAAAATGATGCATATTTATTTTCACAGCCACCTTTGCTCATATTTACCAAGGGTGCTAATATTAGTGGAGGGCACTGTAGAATAAAATGCGAAACTAATCAGATAAGATATCAATCAGCAAAATAATGTTCAAATATATAGGAAAGCAAAAAATATAAATAAATTAAATAAGGAAAATAGATTAAATAAATGTAAAAAAATAAAGATTTAATAATTTAATATTTAATTTAATAAATATGAGACATGAAAATGTTTCAGGCTCAAAAACGCACCTGTTTCGTTTCACGTTTAGTGTCCAGGTGAGGATGAGGACGATGAAGACAGAGAATATCGTGATCATGATCCACAGCGAACGCTCTCTGGGTATATCTATATATATCACAAACACAAAATCAGGAAATGGTGATGAATAGAGTACATCTCTACTGCAATTTGTTTTTCCACTTATGACAAATCAAACTGTGGTGGCACCAACAGTACTTACAAAACTAGAAAGAATAACAGAATAAACAGTGGGTAAAATTGTCACACACAAAAAAACCCTCAAAATAAACAAGTTAGAACAGAGTGGTTTTTGAAAATGTTGTGAGCTGGAAACAGGCTGATCTCTTATTTTGCTCTATTTCATGCTCGCTGCCAACAGGTGCGACTCCCACCGGGCCTGACTTTCCATGGAAGCTCCCGGGCAACTGAGGCCCAGCCAGAGCTGCGGCTCAAAAACACACATGGCTGAGGTTGTGCTAGCCGGGTGAAGATGAGTTCATAACTCCCTGGAGAACCTGAAGGCCTGTTGGTATTCCCTCTAGAATTTTCTGAGCTGCTAGATACATATGTGTAGAGCAGATTTGTTCGCAGCCTCCGCAGGAGACCATGGAGACACAGAGTGTGGTCCTAAAACGGCTCTCTGGAGGTGCTGGATGATATTTTAATAGGCTTCACGCATGCCTCGACCTACTGGGCTAGAAATGTTTTGCTTGTCTTACATGTGTCTAAACTGAAATAGAGCACATGTTTTCAGATGTGACCATTTTTCGGATCACTCCTGGTGCACATTTAATTTTTGGAGAGCTGGTATTTTCAATGGCTTACATCTATACTATTTATATAAGGTTCAAAAGTCGGACATTTGAAAATTACAAATGGATTACAAATGTAAGTTAAATCAGAAAATCATAATAAACTCAAACTGTTATGCTGATAATATAATTGAATAATAATCAAATTATGTTAATTTTATATAATAAATGGTTTTTACTATATTAAATACATTTATATAAATATAAAACAAATATAATATCTATTTTTTTAATCTACATCATTTTTAAATATTGTTACAAATATTATTAAACAAAATATTTATAATAATCAAGTTTACTTTAACTAATGAAGAAAAATAAATACTTACAGTCAGGAATTTTGACATAGGTGGTTTGGGTCCACTCACTCCAGAACCCATGATCGGGTTTACATCGCACCTGCACCATGTATTCTTTATCAGGGTGAAGACTGAACACATTGTAGTACTTCTGCATGCCAGCATCATATACCTACATAGAAATAAAGAGAGCATAAGCTACCACTGCAACACTTTTTATAAGTCTCATTAATCAATATGAAAATAAATGAAATATATATATATAAATGCAATTTATATCATTAATTTTTTGAGATTTTGAATTATTTCTAACTATATTTTAAAGACAGCAGAAGCTACCACTGCAACACTTTTTATGTCTCATTAATCAATAAGAAAATATATGAAATGATATATATATATATATATGCAAAAAAAAAACTTTTTTGAGAATTTTAATTATTTCTAACTATATTTTACCGATTTAATAAAAAATAAAATACAAATTTAGAGATGAGAGGAGGAAATGTTTCAGGCTTGTTACTTGTTACTTTTATTAATTTTATAATTATTAATAACATTATTAATTAACTTAATTGTATTATTGTAATCATTAAAATAAATGATAAAATAAATAAATAAAAAGTATTAAACTTAATTTTGTTGCATAACGCACATTTGTTAATATATCTACTTATAAAGTTGTTTGAATTCAGGTCAAAATAGACGCCAGCTTTATACTCTTACCTAGATATAAAGAGAGCATAAGCTACTGTACCACTGCAATTAACTAAGCCAATATTTTTTAATAACATTTTTTTAAAATAAGTAATAAAATATTAAATAAAAAATACAAATATCAAGTACTATATATGTTGATAATATGTCTACTTATACTTAAATTAGTGTGACTTCAGATCAAAGTAGATTTGATCATTTTTCATATTTATCAAGTTAGCACTTAAACTTATGACAAATACATCATCAGCAAAAATCATCAGTTACATATGTTGTCTGAGCCAATACTATTGCTCTCGGGTTACTCTGTTAATCATTATTGGTCATGCCTCTGTGTTACTGAAGCACAGCCTTTGGGGGGATAATCTGGTTTGAACTAGTCCGTTGTTCTGCACATTTAGCCTCCCTCACGTTTCTGCGGACTAATGAAGACATAAACCCAGACTGGGACAGTCAATGATTAAACTGCTTTGTGTAACAGCTGACTTCATGTCGGCTCACTGGCTGCATGTCCACTTGCTCTCAGCGTTCCATTCATTTAAGATCTTGGATAAAGTCACAAAAAACAACAGCTACTTTTGACCATCTCTAACTTGTTGGCTTACATTCAAGTTGGTTGGCAATACTAGTCCATAATACCAAGAAAACAAGCATGTGAAGTATGTTGTAAAGATTACCAACTGTAGATACTAGATGTCTAAATAGTTGGGTGAAAACAGGGTAACAAAAGTCCATCTCAATATTATCTAGACTTAAATCTAGTTACATTTCTACAAATGTAGCTGATAATTAAACATTTTCTTTTTTTTTTTCAAACCCACCTCCCATTCTTTATCTTTTTCTTGTTTAACTCGTAGCTGGTAAAGTAGCGTGATCCACCCTGAGCGAGTGTCTGCGGTTCGGGGTTTCTCCCAGGACACTCTCACGAACGGACCCTGTTCATCATGGACCACAACTGCTGTCACGTTCTCTGGAGTGTTTGGTTGAACTGTGGGTGAAAAGGAGAGGACAGAATAGGAAATATACCACAATTAAACCTTCCTGCTGTGATCACTCACTTCAACACAATTATTCTGATTTGTACTAATATTTTTAACAGTACATTTGATTTTGAATGTGTAAAGAAGCCTGAAATGTGAAATGTCATACACTAGACTACCAAGTTTGGGGGCAGTAACATTTTTGGAGTTTGGAAGATGTTTAGGCTGCATATATTTGATAAAAATGAGGGCTGCCCCCTAATAGTCGACTAATCGTTAGTCGACCAGAGGAGGCTTGGTCGACCAACATTTTTTAGTCGCTTAGTCGCAGAAAAATCCACATTGGCAAAGTCACGCAGATCGTTAACAGGTGATCTATGGTAATACAGTACATCCGCAGGACATCCAAACGCTCGCCTATCAATCATCCACCACACATATGGCTTATCATCTGAAATATGTAAGTCGGCCAGAAGAGGCTCGGTCGACCAAAATTGTATTAGTCGCTTAGTTGCAGAAAACAAAAATGTAAAAAAATCCATGGGCGAAGTCACGCAGTCCGTAACTAACAGATCGTTAACAGCTAGTCTATGGTAATACAGTACATCAGGCAGGACATCCAAACATTCATCGACCTCAAATATGGCTTATCATCTGAAATATATAAGTATTAGCAACTTTACATGGCCGCTTGATCTAATGTTAACCTAGAGAAATGTGCGCTATATTCAAGTGTCTGTGTGGAAGCTGAACATTAGTGCTCAATGAAGGACAGATGGAGGCGCCGGTGTGCTCACTTGCTCTTAAAGCAGCACTATGTAACTTTTGGCGCTCTAGTGGTTAATAAACAGAACTGCACACATCCCGCGGAAGAACATTCCAACCGGAGCTACTTCTCTAAATTTGTCTACTGGCGATTCACGCAGGTTTGTGTTACTCCGCAGAGGTGACGACCCGACCAGGCTACAATAGTCCAAATATAAGTAGGCTACTTATTATAAGTGTAGCGTAGTGATTCGGAATAAGACTAAAACGAGGTTTGGAAGATGAATTCATGATGTACTCGCTCATTATATACATTTTGCTA